CACGTGCGCCTGCCCCTGCTGGCGCCCGCCTACTTCCTGGAGAAGGTGGAGGCCGACGAGCTGCTGCAGGCCTGCGGCGACTGCCGCCCGCTGCTGCTGGAGGCCCGCGCCTGCTTCATCCTGGGCCGCGAGGCCGGCGCGCTGCGGGCCCGGCCGCGGAGGTATGCCCCTCCCCGCCCCGCCCCGTCCTGGGGCTCCGTTCTGGGGCTCCATGCCCGCACATTCCGCCTGCGTGGCTGAACTCAGTCATCTAAAAGTGCCTGAGCATGAGATTCAGGCGGCCATGCAGAAAACCTTTCGCAGGCTTGGTCTTGGGAAGCCTGCCCTCGCCAGTTAACAGTCCCGTGCGGGAGAAGCAGGGAACCGCACACACATTCTTCCCGGTGCCCCCCCACCCACCCACCCACCCAGAGTTCTGAGCACGCCCACTGAGCAGGTCTTGTCATGGGTGCCTGGAGCTCTCAATGGCTTGGGCCGTACCTTTTACCCTCAGGGAGCTCAGAGTGGTAAGGGATATAAAAGGACAGGGCCTGGGGAAAGAGAAAGGAGCTTATTACTGCCACATCCCTATGCCTGGCACGCTGGACCATGGGGGACTTGGGATAGAGTAGCCCAAGGCTGCATGTCACCTTCCCAGGGAGAGAAGACAGGTCGCCTCTCTCTAACCCCTTTTTTTCCTCCAGCACTCAGTACTGGACTTGGTAATGTCTTTGTCAAAGGTTTTAGGTAGGAAAACAGTGACTAAACTGTTTAGAAATTCTGGTGAGCCCAGAAACCAGTAGAAGAGGAGACTGCTTTGCAGTCAGGGAGTGCAGACTGGTTCAGTGGAATTAGTGATTAGAGGAGGGTTTTAGGAGATGATTATTAGCAGGACGCAGGCAGGGGAATCGGGTAGCGGAGAGGTCACAAAAGGGTGGTGAAGAAAATGAGTTCACATCAGACTAAGGCAGCTTGAATTGCAGGTCTGGTGTGCCAAGGTCCGGAAGCCTTCAGTTAGCCTCTGTCAGAGGAGTTATAACCCCTACTTGAACAGTCATGCGTATTAAATGAGGTGATTTAGGCAGGCAAGTGTAAGGGCTCTGTAGAGATTTCTTTCCTGTGGCTTAGAGGTCAGTAGACCTAGTTTAGTGACCTAGTTAACACCCACAGAGGTTGGACATGCAGAGGGATGTAGAGTGTGGTCACCTCGAGGTGGGTGGGCTGCAGCTTGGGGTGTGGATAAACGGGCATGGGCTTGTCCTCACTCCAGATTCATGGACCAGGCCGAAGTGATCGTGGTCATCGGTGGTTGTGACCGCAAGGGGCTTCTAAAGCTGCCCTTTGCCGACGCCTACCACCCAGAGAGCCAGCGCTGGACCTCACTGCCCAGCCTGCCTGGCTACACACGCTCAGAGTTCGCCGCCTGTGCTTTCCGTAATGACATCTACGTGTCCGGTGAGAGCTCGCTGGAGGGGGAAGTTAGTTGGTCTCCACAGGGCTAGTTGGTTGCCTTCACTGCACCCGCCCCTTTTGATTTTCCCTCTAACCGGGCAATGGGGTGGAGTTTTCCATGCCAACTTGTAGTCACTGGCTAAAGTGGCATGTAGTCCTGCAGGGTTAAATGTCAGCTTCCATCTATACAGTATTAATCACTTCTACTTGCACAGTGTGCTATGCGTTGGGCATTAGCCTAAGCAGCTAGTTATCATTTAATTGTTGCAAAAACTCCCACTTCGTAGATGAGAAAACCAGCTGAGACATTAGGAATTTCTCAGTTGTCTCAAAAATGGCCAGGTTAGGTGGACTATAGATTTGTTTGATACCTATAGATTGTGCCTTCCTTGAAACTAAGACCCCAAAGACTCGGAGAATAAAATAGTTCTTGCTCCCACTGGAGAGGGAGATACAGAAAGGCTCGATTTGATCACTGGGCAGAATATGATGGGAGATCTAAGCGTGTCCAGGAAATCCCTCTCGGGAAATCTGGCCCAGCTTCATGGAAGACATAGCTTTTCAGCTGGGCTTGCAAAGGCACAAAGGCAGGGGTGTGTAGGAGAGAACCCCAGGACTCCAAAGGCTGAGTGTGTCCAGGAGAGTAGGGGAAATTAGTGTAGATGAGGCAGGAAAAGGAGTCTCAGTCAGATTAAAGAGCCTTTTGTGGGCCCTCCCTGGTGGCGCAGCGGGCTAAAGCACTGCACTAAGAAGCTTAAGCCACTTCCGCATGAGTTCGATTCCCGCCTGCCCCGGAGGGCATGGCAGACCTCTCCTGACCCGCCCGCTGCTCCCCTCAGCGGTGTACTTCGTCGATCTGCCTGTTCTGTTCCCCACTCTGTCTCTAGTGAATCCTCTCACCCTCCGCATCTCTGGCCTGTACCCCAGTTCTTTATGAATAAACAAATCAATCTCCAAAAAAAAGAGCCTTTTGCAGGAGGCCTAGGTGGACTGCACTTGATGTAGAGAGCTCTAGGTGCCTGAGAATGAGCCAGGGAGGCTCAGAGACCACCCAGGCCACACTTTGGTGCTGGAGAATTTATCCAAGGTTACTGATGGCATCTGAGCAATACTGGGCTTCTGCGATGTGCCTGTGAGAATCAGGGACAAAGCTACAAAACAGATGTGGCTTAGGTCTGGGGCCGAGGCTGAGGGGGACAGTCAGGGCTGCCCCTGCCCCTGGAGGTGACTCCCTCAGGAGTCCTAAGGGAGCGCCCCAGAGCGGGTACCAATGCTGAGCTGGGGAACTGGAAGCTCTGTTGGGTCATGGCTTGGCAGCGAAAGGCCTTGTGGGGTGCAGCAGGTCATTTCCAGTCTCTGACTTACTTAGAGGTTCCTGTTTGTAAACTGGATATAAGAATCCCCACATCTCATAGAGGGATGTGGACATGAAATCATGAGGGTGACGGCAGTAGTGAGGCAGAATTATTGGGTCACCCTCTACCCCTCGGGATCCAGTGCAAGTGGCTGTGTTTTCCCTCCATCCCCAGTGTATTCCCAGTGCTTGTCTTGGGCGCCCTTTGCACTTGCCTTCAGTAGAGTTCTTTTTTTTTTTTTTTTTTTAAAGATTTATTTATTTGTTCATACAGAACTGGGGTACAGGCCAGAGGTGCAGGGGCAGTGAGAGGATTCACCAGAGACCGAGTGGGGAGCAGAACAGGCAGATTGATGAAGTACACTGCTGAGGGGAGCAGTGGGTGAGACAGGAGAGGTCTGGCTCGCCATGTGGGTCACCTCCGGGCCTGGGGATCGAACTTGAACTGAAGCAGCTCTGGCCAGCTTGCAGTGCTGTGTCCTAACCCGTTGCACCGCCAGGGAGGGCCCCACCTTCAGTAGAGTTCTAAGTGGCCCCCTTTGCTTCCTTAAGCACAGAGCCTGTCCATCCTACAAAGCAACTCACCCACGCAATGAAGATCAGCTCCTCCCTGAGTTTCTCAGGACTCTTCCCTCAAGACCCCCTGCCACTGTCCTAATCAGACATTCACAACACTCCTTCAAAGTAAAATGTCTGGGGGATAGACCCAGTCTCACACTAGCGGGGCAGGAAGTCCCTTAACCCTTCCTTTGGATCTGGGACCTTTCTTTCTATTTCCGGGAGGTGGGGGGGGGGGGCGGGGGCTGGGTCCTGGGGATAGCAACAGGACTGGGGGCTACATCTGCTTCTCTCTCCCTAGGAGGCCACATCCATAGCCGCGACGTGTGGATGTTTAGCTCCCATCTGCACACTTGGATCAAGGTGGCTTCGCTGCACAAGGGCAGGTGGAGGCACAAGATGGCCGTGGTGCAGGGGCAGGTAGGGACTGCAAAAGCTACTGCCCTGGTACAGTGCAGGGGCCCAGGTCCAGATCTATGGCCCTTTAAGACCTCTCTCTAAGAAGGAATCTGAGGTCCCAAGGTCACATAGTAATAGTAGTAGTAATTATAGGCTGTATAGTACAGCCTAGTGATCAAGGTGTGAGCTGTGGGGCCCAAAAGCCTAGGTTTGGATCTTGACCGACCTGCTTAAGCCCACCCCCCTACCCCCCCAACCCCCCCCAACTGTCAATCGCCTTTGTAAGCTGCATCCCAGATTCAGCAATCAAGTAAAAGTGCGTTTTAGAATCACTTAAGTGCGGCGGCCAGCCGGGATCTCCAGCTATGGTCGGTGCACCTGCGTGGCGGGCAGGTATTCCACAACGCTTATGACCTTCATTCCCACGCAGCTTATTACCCCCGCCCTTAGGGAAACCTGCGAAGGGCGGGCCAGTAACTGTTGGGTGAGCGCTGGCCGGGGCCCTACTCCGGAGTGGTCTAGTTCCCCTGCTCGCGCCACAGCGAGGAGGTGGTGGTGGGGCAGAGACCCAGGGAGCCCTGACTCTGGGCCCCGTCCTCTCTGCAGCTGTTCGCGGTGGGCGGCTTCGACGGCCTGCGGCGCCTGCGCAGTGTGGAGCGCTACGACGCCTTCTGCAACACCTGGGCGGCCGCCGCGCCCCTCCCGGAGGCGGTGAGCTCCGCCGCCGTGGTGCCCTGCGCGGGCCGGCTCTACGTGATCGGGGGCGCCCGGCAGGACGGCGTCAGCACGGACAAGGTAGGCGGGAAGGGGGCTTCCAGGCGGGCCCTCGGGTTTTGCGCTTGATCCCATCGGCAGCCCAAAGCGTCACCCCAGGTCTCAGGCGAGGGGCTGAATTCAGAGAGAACCCCAAGGCCACAAGGCAGGTCATCAGCACAGCTGGGCCCAAATGTTTGGGCTGGTGACACATGGGTTTTATGGATTTCAAAAATTAAGGGCAAACGTGGTATTATTTAAGATGTTTTTCATCCATTCAAAAGAATTATTGAAGATTTAGAAAACTGGAGATAAAGGGGGTGAGGGAGAAATAACCCCATAATCTCACTTTAAGGAATAGCTATTATTTATATTTTGGTGCAGCCTTACAGGCTTCCTCTGAAGTGTTCTGTGTTCATACTGTCAGCAAAGTTTTGCTTTCTTTTTACACTTCTAGGTATTACACTTTGCACAGCCATCATTTCAGTGTCTGCAATAATCTCCAGGTGAAGACTATATAATATAATAGTCTCCAGCTGAAGACTAACTACTCACTTAGTTGTGGACATAATTGGCTTACAAAAACTAAGCATCATGGCAGCCCCTCCCTCCCGATGACCTCACAGGTCTGTGGTCCTGGGGTCAGAATCTTTTCCTCCCACCTCCTGTTCCCTGACTCCTTTCCCAAGTAGTTGGCTGGGGGACCTGCCCTGTCAGGCAGAAAGGTGTAAACGCTGGCCCAGGCCTGCAGACAGCTTTAGGGGAGGGGGCTCCCAGATCCCACAGCTGGCATCTTGTCATGACCTCAGAGCACCGGGAAAAAGGGAAGAGGGGTGAGTGTCGGCAGCTGGGAAGGCCTCCCCCTGGCACCTGCTCTGGGAACTGTCTGCAGCAGGTGCAAGGGCCTCTACCTCCTGGTTTGCAGACTCCTCCCTGGGCCCTGAACGATGAGGAGGCTTTTGAAAGATGAGGAGCAGAAACAGTGGGTCTTCTGTACCCCCCAAACACTAATTGCAGGACACGGGCAACTGCTGTGCTGAATGAACCCTGTAATCCCACTGCACAGGCGGGGGTGTGGGCAGCAGGGCCGTCGGGGTGGGCTGCAGGCTGCTCCTCCCGCCCCCTCAGGTGCAGTGCTTTGACCCCAGGGAGGACCAGTGGCGCCTGAGGTCACCAGCACCCTTCTCGCAGCGGTGTCTCGAGGCGGTCTCCATCGAGGACACCATCTACGTGATGGGGGGCCTCATGAGCAAGATCTTTTCTTACAAGCCTGGCACAGATGTCTGGGGGGAGGTGGCTGTCCTGCCAAGCCCTGTGGTAAGTGGAGGGTCCTGATGGTGCACCCCAGCACTAGTGCTGGTGAGTGTGAAACCTGCTTGTAGGATCTGGTTCTTGGAGTCAGTGAGTCACGCTGGACGGGCTCTTACATTGTTCTCTAGTTTTGTTCTCAGTGATTTATCAGCTTTGCAATTCCCAGCTGAGGACACTGGCCTTAGAGGCTGCAGCCCAGCCCAGGGCCACCAGTTAAGCCTTGTAAGGCAGGGCTTAGAAACCCAGTCCCTAGTGCTGCAGCCTGGGGGAGGGGCTGCACTCCCCCCTTGCGCCACTGGTAGCAGAGAAGGGAGATCTGTCCCTTGCCTCTCCTTCCTTTTGCCCCCTCTGGAAACTCCAGAGATTAGGTGGCGTGTGGCTGTACTCGGGCCCTGCCAGTTTTCGGCTGCAGTGATCCCAAGAGCCTGAGATTTCTGGCTTCTCTGAGACCTTAAGATGGTGGTGGCGCTCACTACCCAGGTACTATGTCAAATATTTTACATGCTTAACTTTTCAGAGGACCTTACAAAGACAGTATTATTCTCAATTTGCAAGTAATAAAGCCAGGGCCCAGAGTGACTTATCTAAGGTCATTCATTTAGCAGTTTGAACTCCGGTCCCTCCCACTCTTGCCTACCATCCCAGCCGCCTGCTCATTTTTCTGTAGGTCACGGCTTTTCTGTCCGACCTGACCAGCCAGGTACGGACAGAGCCACAGAATAAGCTGCATGGCTGACACGGCTGTCTGTTTGTCCACCCAGGAGAGCTGTGGCGTGACGGTGTGTGACGGGAAGGTCCACATCCTCGGCGGGCGGGATGAGCACGGGGAAAGTACTGACCGAGTCTTCACCTTTGACCCCAGCAGCGGGCTGGTGGAGGCCCAGCTGGCGCTGCAGCGCTGCACCAGCTCCCACGGTTGTGTCACCATCATCCAAAGCCTGAGCAGGTGACCCAGACGTGGTGAGCCTGGGGCAGAGAGCTCACCAGCACAGGAAGCTCACTCAGCTCCCTTCACAGCACAGCCATGTGAACAGCCCTTTAATTTATCGCCTAGAAATAACACCACCTGTAAGGTTGGGTCTGCATTGCAGCCCGAGCTGGCTCTGCCAGGGCAATGCTTTCTTGCTTTGATTCTTTGCAAAGCATCTTCTTTCATTACTTCGTCCACTTTCACAACAGTGTGGACACTTTCTAAAAATTATTAAACATTTCATGCATGGGATGGATGTTTTATAGTTTAATAGTGTGTCCTCCTCCTCTAGCTTAATAGATGTCTTTGTTTATTCCCAAAACGATCTCCCCCTTCCTCAGTCCTCCCAGAGGTAATCACTGTTCATAGATTAGATTAGTAGCACTTTTTTGGTGTGAGCTAGAGATTATATTCTAGAGAGAAGAACTGGCATTAAAAAGATGAGACTCATCCAAGACCATATACTTAGTAAGTGGGAGTCTATGACTCTTACTAAAATCTATGAGGAACGTCTGGTCAGGATGGCTCTGTTTCAAACCACCCCTCTCCAAGTCAAACACCTAGCTGGGATAAATACAATTAAAAACCAAGCAACTAAAAAGAGAGGACTGTGTTGGCTTGTGAGTAAGCAAACATGTCCAAGGACCAGAAACAAAGAGTTGTAAGCCATGTGGAAGGCAGAAACTCAAGGACTGGGGTTCAGACTGCATGAGTCTTTAAAAAGGCCTTTAAAAAGCAGGCTCACTGCTATAACACAGCAGCAGCTAAAACAAAGCAGAACAAAACAAAACTCTCGTGGCCGCAGAGTCTGGGCTCACAGCACAGTCCATGGCAGGGCGACCAGGCTGGCTCTGTACCTGGACCCTGGTGAGACCCAGGGTGCCCGAGGGGGTACTGTGAACACCTGGATTGGCCCACGACTCTAGGAGTAGCACAACACTGCTGGCTAGGGAGTGAGCTCAAAACCCGGCCATAGATGCTGGGGCCGAGGTCTTCCGGGCCCCATCTGGAGCTCCCCTCATTTGCACTGACTGCCTTTTGAAGAGTCTTCCTCTGCTCCTCACTTCCAGCAGGGCATGTGGTTGGCCCAGAGGCCCTCTTCATCTCGCAAAGCCCCAGGGCCCAGTCTGAGGGGTCTCTCCAGCTGGGGCTGGTCCATCACAGCCCAGCACAAAGGCCCGGGTCCCACTTGGGCTACTACCCTCCCATTACCCCAGCTTAGGGATTCTGTGACCATCTGGACACAGCTGATAATGACAGAGGGGGGAGGGGAGCCCGCCTGCCCCCAGCCTAGGGGTAACACTCAGGCTAAAACAAAGGAGGCACCGAATGGCTTGCTTACCCTGAAGGAAGCCCAAGTGGGAAAAGGACAATCCAGGGCAGGGCTGCCTTTCTCCCCACTGCCATTCAGGTTCTCAGTGCTCTTCTGTTAAATGAGATGCCTTTCCCTCTTCTGACCACCTTTTCCTTGTGTTGCTTTGTCTGCCCCTCTTCTCCATCTGGCATGTGGCCAAGCCTTTGTGTGTGACATCTCTAGGATGCCCTGAGGCAGTAAATGTGTTGACTTTGTTTTTGCCTCCCCCAGTGCCTGGAAGGCCTCCCACTGATTACATTAAGCTAAAGCTTCCTGGTTTCCTCTCTTACCTCCCTCCGCACCCCTTTACAGCCTCAGACCTGGGAAGCTACTTGGTTACTAAGGTCATCGGGCTGGTCAGTGGTGGCAGAGCCAGCCTGGGTCCAGCTCTCTCCAAAGCCTACTTGCTCCATGAGGCCACAGAGGCTGCTAATCAGCAAGACCAGCACAGGGTACAGCAGAGCATTGTTCAGAAGTAGGAGAGAGGTCATTTCTCCCATGGGATATCCTAGCCTGATGGGATGTTTCCTGTCCTTTGGGGCCTCCAACTGGATGAAGGGTGATACGGTTCATGTTTCTGATAAGCGAGATTCACAGCAATAAAGAAAAAGGGGGGTCATATGTCCTAATTTCCTGGATCACTGGTTACACTGAGGCCATATACAGGCCTCCCCTGCTCCTGCATAGAGGTGCTTCCCCACCTCTCCCACCAAACCACTAATCCGGAGCACTGAAGTCTTAGTCATGCAGTTTGCCATCCTCCTCAGTAGAAAACAGGCTTAACTCTTAGTATGCCATTGGTAGCCAGCCAGTGGGCCCAAATTTAATCTTTTTTGAGTTTTTTTTTTTAGTTCCATTTATAAGGTTTAATATTTTATGATAGTTATTCTTCATGGGCTTCCAAAAAAGAACAAGAATACTTACCAATTCAAAAAGCAAATAGGCCCTCCCTGGTGGTGCAACAAGTTAAAGCAAAGCACTATGAAGTGATCCCTAACCACACGGCACAGCAGGCTTCTCCTGACCTGCCCTCTGCGCCCCTCAGAGGTGTTATTTCAGTTAACCCTCCTGGTTCTACTCCCCACTCTATCTCATGAATCCTTTTATGCCCCGCACCTCTGGCCTGTACCCTAGTTCTTCAAATAAATAAATAAAATAAACCTTTTTTGGGAAAAAATCTTGAAAAAAAAAAAACGAAACTGATCAACTTTATTTTTCCCTGTATCTTACATCTAAAATTATTTCCTGTTACTCATCGGTACTTCCCAACTATGTCTAGCAAAACAAAGGTGGTAAGAAAATGGCAGGATGATGGTATTGCCTAGAAGTAATAAAGTCTTGTTTCCATGTTGCTTTTCACAAAGCATTGTGTATGATCTTTCAAGAAGACAAAAGTCTAGAAACATCTCTAAGAATTCAGAACTCCAAAAGAATTCAGAACTCCAAGACATCAACAATAAAGATGTTTTTGGAGACTCAACCCCTTTGGAATGGGAAATAAAAGCAACAACAATTGGGATTATCTCAAGTTAAAAAGCATTTACAGAGCAGGAAAACATATACGAGCCAAGACATCCTACTCAGAAATATTCATATAACATATAATCAATGAGGGGTCAACCCAAGATACATAAAAACATTTATCATTCAAAATAGAAAAACAATAAATGGGCTGCAATTCACCAAAAGAGGCCAACAGATATATGAAAAAATGTTCGAGAGAGCCACAGGTTAAACCACAATGTGCTACCACCTCACACCTGTGAGAATGATCCAAGTGGTGGCGAGAATGCAGAGAAAGAGGAATTCTGTTACACTGCTGGTAGGAATGTAAACTGATACAGCCATTGTGGAAATCCATCTGGATTCATCTTAAAAGACTAAAAATGATATAACATATGATCCAGCAATCACACTCCTGGGCATCCACCCAAAGAATGTGAAACCATCAATGCAAAAAGTAACATGCCCCTCTCTGTTTACCACAGCACCATGCCCAGCTAGGACAGCCTAACTGGTCATCCACGATGACCAGATCAAGATGAGGAATGTCCACACAGCATGGAATTCTGTTCAGCCGTAAGAATGAGGTGCAGCCACTTACAGCAAAATAGTAAGTTCAAGGGAATGATGTTTAGTAAAACAAGTGACAAAACAACCCTGGACACTTACAGAACAGATGATTTGACAAAGTAAAACACTTATAAAAACTAGTGGACATTGATAAAAAAAAACACAAGGGCTCTGAGACTAAGAGAGGGAGGAGGCAGGGAGGAAGCAGGGGATATAAGGGATGGTTACGGAGGGAAAATTTGAAGTTATTTGGCAAAAAATATTTTTCCCTCAAATTCAAAAATTTCCCCTTTCCACCTGTCAGGAAAACTGACAGAGTTGCAATCACAGAAAATGAATGCAGACACACCTATCAGCACTCCAAAGAGGACAGGTCAGTTGTTCATATAAGCAAAATCCTTCTCAAACTCAGAACTGGTGAGCAAGCACTACATTTCCAAAACCAGGAAAGTGATATTGTATTTTCAGTTAAGTCATTCACTAGGAAGGATTTCACCCCGCAATTACTGGATGATAAAACCTAGATCTTTCATCTCTTATGACATTTACGCCAAGTTTACATGGTAAATTGTTAGTTCACAAATGGGTACATGTTAAAAGGAAGCTGTGTGCATGGAGGGAAACATGCTGTAAAAATATTAAAATGTACTGGCGTTTTTCTATAAATAAGGTTTTAAAATTAGGGAGCAAGAAAGTGGCTGGCCTCCCCAACAAAATTATGAACCCTACAAAAGTCTCAAAGTACTGCTCATTAACAATGCAAGAACAGAGCAAAACAGCCCCCAGAAGCGATGAGAGGCTAAAGCCTCCTTAGCGGGGTACTGAAACCAGCAGCGACAAGGTGACACCCCAGCTTCACACTGGCAGTGACTGAGCTCACTGCTGTCTGGGACCGTGTTGCTTTTGGGTCTATATACCTTCAAGACCAGGAAAATAGGAAGCTGGTTGCTGGTTTAATTCATGTATATGGACACACAGAATGATTGATTTTAGTGATAGAATTCACATCCCAAAATAGCCACCTACATGACCTTGAAATGCAAATCCAGGGGTTTTTAGACCTGGAGCTGTGCTATTAATACTTACTAAAATTTTTAAGTGTTTTTTAAACATCTCCTTTTAGTCTTCTGCAAATAACTTGTAAAATGACTTAAAAGGTGGCTGTCTATTGGACCAATGAAAGGTACTGATTATTTTTCCTGGTATATTGGGTGTAAAACTAGCAAAGGTCCGTCCCCTCTACGGCCCTCCTCGATGGGAAAACGGCACCACTGCTGTCCTGTGCTCTCCCTTCCCTCATCTATAAAGCAAAGTCTCAAAAAGCAGGGGACTAAAAGGGTCCCACTCCTCTGGCACACACCACACAAAGGCTGCCCAGCGCAGGCTGGCGTGGGCAGGAATGGCTGCCAGCGGAGGCGGGACCAACCCGTCAGTGGCCCTCTCGCCCCGGAGACAAAGGCCCAGCTGCACCTGACCGGCTGTTGGCCTAGCAAGGCCAAGTAGCAGAAGTGTGGTTGAATCTGAATTTCAGAGCAACTAGGGGGTGTCTTATGAAAATGAGGGTTTGGGATCAGTGAGTTGTTCCCAACCCAGGGTCTCATATGTGCTCGGGTAAGAAGTGGAAATCTTAAGGCATTCTGAATTGTTTTCAAAGCCTCAGAGCACTACATATCCCCTAAAATGTACTGCAGGCATTAATTAGATCACTGTAAAATGCGGCTGGCAGTGGAACCCACCCGACCGGCCTTTGGAAAGGTTACTAAGGGAGAGGCTCACAGCAGGCTTAGGGCATTAACAGTAGCCTCACTGCTTCCTGGTAGAAGTAAAAGGCCTAGCCATGTGGTCAGGGCCTTACAGAGGGTGAACACAGTCCATTATGAAGTAGTTGTGAATAGCTCTCTAAGTACTAGTAACAGCTATGTACTAACACTTGCTACGGGTCTCTGTTAAGAATGCTATCTACAGACAAGCAGAGGGAGGCACAGAGATTTAACTGTTGTGTCTTGTGGACTTGGTTTTCATTCAGTTTGGCTTGAAAGCCTAGGTTCTCAAACTTTTATATCTCGAGAGACCATGCTAATGATAAATGCTAAAGACACATACACGTACTGGCACTGAGATTACTTTAACTCCCACAAAAGCCCTGTGATACAACTTGAGGATCAGAAAAGAACTAGGTCACCTTTGTGCTGTTAGCAGAACTTGAACCAAGGTCTCTGGTTGTAAGGCCTAACCTCTCCCATCACTTACCAGCTTCCTCTGTAAAGCACCCAGCAGAGAAAGGTACCCCACACCCCAGCTCTGACAGCCTTGCCTACTTTTCCAGGGAGGACTGGCTGATAGGCGAGCTGAGGTCTGTGCTGAACCTCCCCCTCAGAGTTCACAGTGGGGGTAGCGGGGCAGGCACAAATGATCACTCTGCTATAGAGTCTAGCAGCCTTTACAAAGAATAGTTTGCAAACCTAGATTCTGACTACAACTCCCCTGCATGAAACCCTCCCACCACTGCCATGACCCCCTCACCAGTTTCTGTGTGCTCTTTCCCTGGTTCTCCAGTGCAGTCCATTAGCCCGACCTCTACTTGGCCCCTGGGTCAATTCCCAATTCTCATGCTTTTAGTGTCCTTCCTTTGCATGATGGGAAAGTTGGCTAGTTCCTGTTTGAGGCCCTTATCACCAGCTGCAAGGAACTCTAAAGGATGAAAACCCCCAAATTCTTTCCCTTTCTTGATCTGACCCATGGTTATAGAATGATATTCATGTGGATTAATTCAAGCTACACACTTATGTATTAACAATTTGCTAATATACCTAATACTATGCCAGTAATAGCTGCTAAAATCCCACCTGATAGTTCTCACCACCCAGCTCTGTGCACACTTCAATACATCTAGTTATCCTCTCACTACTGGACATAACAGGAGTAAGTTTTAGCTCTGTTCAAACACCAGCATTTTCAGTAGAATTGCAAAATGGCAACAGCTTCACTCACAAAGTATAAGTACGTCTTACAAATCATCCAGTTACCATGGCACCCCAACACAACATCTGTCTTTCTGGGGGTGAACAGAACCAAACAAAGGCACTCGAATCTCACTTCACACACACATTCATTACTGAGACACAACACTAGCCAGTCTGTTCAAAGCCCCCTCGTTTCAAACCTTCCCAGAAGGTCTGAACTGTCCCCTTCTGGCTTAGAAAGGGACTGGTCTGGAAAGTGGGGAATGAAGAGCCACTTGCAGTCAGGCTCTAGGCTCTAGCCATGGCACACCACACCCAACACCTGAACCCACTCCCTAAAATACACGAAGTGGTCATTAAACAGCCAATGGTTCTAGAATTCCTGGGTATCTTCACTCAAGAAATGTGAGATGTCACTGTGCAGACAGTTTAATATAAACGTCAGAATCTCAGTATGTTCCCATAATAACAAACTGGCAAATGTGACTATTGTGCCTTGTCACTCACCTAGTAGAAACATGTCGTGTCTGTCTTTGGTAGCTTAGTCTCACTGAGAAGACAAATGACGATAGAGGCCCCACTGGTCTGTGGAGCCAGACCATCTCACCAGTCCGGTCTTATCACACCAGGATAACAAGGCCACCTGACTTGACTCCCCAGCCATGAGAGTGTCACAAAGGCGGCAAGGCCCCTCACAGAGCATTAATACCTGGTGCATGGTATGACTCAAACTGTAGTAGTCATCATTTTCTGTGTGCAATATTCATTTCCTCATGCATCAGGAAAACCATGTTAAATATATTCTGTAGACCTAAAGCCTGAAGCACAGGGTCTGAAAATGCTGCCCGACTAGCTGTCAGGCTGCACCTGTCCCTCGGTTTTCCTTTCCATTGCATGGGTTCCCCTGTTCTGGCCCTTACCTCCCAGTACAGGTGGAGCCACGCGGACTGCAGGAAAGCACGGGGGCCCAGGGCAACACTGGGCCTGGTAGCTCTAGGTATCAAGCTAGGAATGCTGCCAAGGGGCACATTACCCAGTCTGGACATGCATATGCAATCATGATCCAGTCAGGCCATGTGTCTTTTTTTTACACATTTATTAAAGGTCCTTACAGAGCAACATCCAGACTCCAGATCCAGTATGCAGCGTGCCCCTGAAACCAAAGCACAACAATAAGAATCGAGAACTTAGCTTTACTACTGGGTTCTTTTCATTACCCAAAACAGGTCTACACTGCCATTAAGGTTTTTTTTTTTTCTTTAAATAATTTTTATTTATTCATGTAAGAACTGGGGTCCAGATCAGATGTAAGTGGGGGGGGGTGAGAGGAGTCACCGGAGACAGAATGGGGATCAGAACAGGCAGATCTACTGAAATACACTGCTGGGGGAGCAGCAGGCGAGAAGGGAGTGTCTTCTGTGCCATGTGGGTCAGCTCCCTGGTGGGGCGAAGTCATGCCTCAGTGGCTGGTGATAGGCTGAGAGTGCTGAGACTTTAACCCCTGCACCACCAGGGAGGCCCCCATTTAAGGTCTGTTACCAAGATCAATAAATACACAGAAGCGGGTACAGGAGACACCTGGTGTTACTGTTTTTAGGGAGGCTCAAGGACTGACATTCTGAGCAGATATGGGAGGACAATAAAGGAAACTTCCTCTTTCAAACACAATAGTAAATGTAGGAATTTGAGACTAAAGGAAATTGTAATTCCGGCTAAATGGGCTCCTGTGTTCTCCCATGTAAAGCAAATATAATCCAGGTTTTATTCACCCAGTGTTTACCCCAAGAAGCCCCATACACACCCGTTATGCTGTAGGCACTGGCTGGGGCATGGCTGGTGGCTCCGGCTTCCCGCCCTTCTGTTCCGAGATGGGAGTGGTAGGCAGTATCTCATCTTTAGGCTCCACGATGCTCACGTGGTCAGGGAGGGGCTTCTTAGGGCCAATTTTACCACTTGGGTCCCAAGGTAGCATGATCTTCACTTTGATGCCCAGCACACCTAGAAGATGCCACAGTTAGGAGATGCAGCCATGGTTTCACTGGCCCCCACTATACAACCGGACAGGGCAGTACATTACTCAAACACCCTCAGTTCTGGCCCCTTCTCAGACAAATGCCTCTAATCAATCAGTAAACCGGACACTTTTGCAAAAGGAATCCTGCACAGCACCACAGAACGTGGCACTGGCAAGACCCAAGTGCAGGATGTGACCTTTCTGACTCGTCATCGTATCATCACCGAAGGGTACACAGGTGGCTGAGACAAGGACAGCTCAGCCCTGACCTGCAGCTAATTGCTACACCCAAGGAGAACAAGCAGCCGAGACAATGCCCCCCACACTGAGGCATGCAAGGGAAGGCACACCTGTCTGTCAGACCCCTGGCCCCAAGCACGCCGGGCGGCTCACCCTGTCTCAGCAGCACATGGCGCACAGCTGTGTCCACGTAGTAGTTAACAGGGTCCCCACTGTGGATCATCAGACCATCCACAAACTTCATGGATTTGGCCCTCTGTCCTCGGAGTTTTCCAGACACCACAACCTCGCAGCCCTTGGCCCCACTCTCCATGATGAACCGCAGCACACCATAGCAGGCCCTTTGGGAGAGAAGAGACAGCATTTGCATGATCACCAAAGCCAGGATTAAAGGGAAAAGGGACAAAACTAATGTACTAATTCACACAACTTCCAAAGTTCCTTTAACTACAAACATGATCAGAACCTGGCCCAAGATAAAGAAGTTCTTGTCCATACCTACTATATCTAATTTTAGGCCAAGTCTTAGGAGTTCTGTCTAACCAAGTGCTTCCTAACCTTGTGTTCTTTATAGCCATTCCCCAAAGGTTAAAAGACAACAAGAACAAAATCCCTAAAGCCTGGGCCCTACGGCACTATCAGAACATTTGCAGCCAAGGACAGGAGAGTGGTCAAGTTCGGGCCTATTCTGCCTCTTACCTCTCTCTTGGAGCCAACATGTTTAAAATACTCTCCAGGTGGTTCTGGTGTGCAAGCAAATCAAGACCCACACCAGTAAACACACAGTTATCAAGCTGACAACCCCACCCTCTCTCAAGCAAGACCCTCTAGTCCTACCTCAGCCAACAGAACTGCCTACATAAAATCTGCCTCAGGATTTCTAAATCAAGCAGCCAGTAGAAAGCCAGAGTCTCCCTTTATGTTCACTAAAATATTCAACTTTCACTTGTTCACACCCCACAAGATAATTGGTGGGCCAGCTACCACTTCCAACAAGCAAAGTTACGGAGTAAGATCTGCTACCATACATACCACACCCACTCATGTTATCTCATCTAATCCGGACAAGAAAGAGATCACATTTAGAGACAGAGACCCATGCCTCAGAATTTCAGTAAGTTAATTAAGTGTCAGAAACTCCAAGTCTCACTTACTAGTATGCAAAAAATTACCGGGGGGAATTAAGACAGATGACTAGGCTACAGCCACTTTCTGATTCAGTGGGTCTGGGTGAAGATTCAGAATTTTTTTTCTAAAAAGTTCTAAAGCTAATCCATGAAGATGGCCCAGGGATCAAACTTTTGAAACCTCTGACTGTGGTAGAGCTATCCTTCAAGCACAGTGGGCATCACCCTCACATCAACCCACTTACAGCACAGTGCTCACTGTCCTTTCTCTGCTGAAAAACCTTGCAGGGTTTGGCATTATGTCTCCACTAAATTCTAAACACCCAAACAAGGCTTAAAACTGAAGCAAGAACTGCCCGCTGTAAGATCTCATCGGAGGCCCCACTCCAGGGCCATGGCCACTCCTTTCTAGCCCCGATCACTCCTCACATTACTACCTACATACAACTTAAAGAGATAAATAACCCGATTTCTGGCTGGGACTTCTCTCTTTAGTTCCAATAGAGTTAACACACAATGGAGCTGAATGATTTCAACTAGAATCTTACCTCCCTTTCCTGAAGTTCTATTTTTGTTCTTCCCCAAAGCACTAAAACAGTTCATGATAGGACTGATTTTAAAAACATGCTTCTTTACCAGTCTGTCTTGCTACTGCCAGGTCAGTGTCTTAACGCCGAAACCAGAGACTACAGGTGACCACATAGAGTGCATTTGTTGAATCAACATTAGCAATGGCAGACACATCACATGCTGATTCACAAAAAGATACAACCAGGAAGTGTCAGGACACTTACCTCCTCACAGCAAGGCCTCCTAAGAGTTTGTAACGCAGCGATTCTGCCTGGGCAATGGCACACAGACCTCTTGTAGCCACCTTTTCAGCATAAAGCTTTGAGAAGGAAAACAAGGCACATCTTTAAATGTCTCACCTTTATTTTCAATTAAAAAGCAGCATAAAAAAGCAGCTACCACTTATACCCCTCAAGTATCCAAGGCACTTTTCCTCCCATATCTAGCACATTCCTCCCACTCTCAGTTCTTCCTACAACCACACCAGTGATGGAGCCAGACAATCATCGCGCATCACTGTTTCACCCAAGATGAATAAACAAAGTCTTCAGGGTGATGGTAAGGATTTTTAAAAGTATCACCAAGAACCATTGCCAAGTCCACAATAATCTGTACCCCAAGACAAATTGCTCACCTCTACACTCCCCTCTGGGAAGCCAAACCTCTTCTGAACCACAGCAGTCAATTCCCGGATCCGCCGGCCTTTCTCACCGAGAACATTCTGTGTCCTGGAGAAAATAAGAAGTGACAATTCATGGCAGAAGTTTCAGGGGTTAACTTTAAATCTTGCACATACACGGCAGTAAAATTTCATTCTGACACAAGTAAAAATTTTGACTGCTACAAGATAGATTTAGATTTAAAGGGAAAACAAACCGCATTTCCTATAAAGCCAGATACACGGTCGCCTTAAGTTCCCAGAAAAGCATATGCAACATCTTAGTATAAACAACAATTATAGGTGGTAGCCAGGAAATTAAAAGTTTTTTACCTGGTGGCTAAGATGATAATTTCTGTCCTCGTTGGTGTAACCCGGACTTCAACTCCAGAGTAGCCATCTTCAGCCAGCTCCCGAGTGAGAAACTCGTTCAGTTCAGCTTTGAAGATGCCATCAGCGACAAACTAGCAAAAAATAAAATTCAAAATCAGAACATGGTGCAGGCTTACATTTCCCTGCCTATGTTTTTAGCGCAAGCAACCCTCATCAAAACCCAACACCCCAAGAAACGACACACCTGAACTCAACCTATTACTCTGGTTTCAAAAGGCATGGAATAACCCTTCTCAGACAAATGCCTCTAAGTCATCGTTTGGAAGTTCTTTGATCCAGGGACCCTTAAAACTGTGCCACAGAACGCAGCACAGAGCAGGGGCCACCTGAACAAAGGTTAACACCTCCAGTCAGACTCGTCATCTTCTCTTCACTGAAGGGTTTTTAAGACCTTAGTACCTCTATACACATGCTAGACAAAAAACTGCTGGAAGGTGGTGATGGAGGAAGGAATGCAGGGGAGACACCCCAAGACTGAGCCACACAAAGGGGATAAGTAGAAGGGGCTAGACACAGCCATAAAATCAAGATCCTCAAGCACTAAAGCCAGGATGCCTGGATGTTTTGGGAAGTCTGCAGGAGGTCCCAGCAGGTAACAGCCTGTTGGGGGCTGTGTCTGAAGCTCAGACCCAAAATGTAAAAGATTAAGAACAAGGAGATAAAGCTCACAAGGGAATCTCCCATCCTCTCTGATTCTATTATAAGTCAACAAACCTAGGCTCACAAGAAGTGAGCCCCTACCAAAAAAGCTGTCTATATCAGGGCAGTCTCTCCACCAGCCTGGGGCAGCAGCCTCCTGCCTGCCCGTGCCAAGCCAGGACTTCAATGCACTGATCTCCCTCAGTGGAGGCCGCTCTCCTAAGGCCGTCTGCCTGCAACCATGCAGGTCTCTCTCTCAGCAAACCTGTCCCTTTCCGGGCAGCTCTTCCTGCCTGCTTGTACCTATCTATGCAAGTGTCTTTTCCTCTCCTGTCTCTTTCTAATAAACTTTCTCTTTAAATATAACTAAGTCTCTGTATCGAGGAGAATCTCAACGCATGCTGCTGAAAGGGGAGTTCTGGTGAAACCTTTCCCAGAGAGAACCCACGGACCCGGAACTCCAAAAGATGACATCAGTGGCACATTTGTAACTCATTCATTCAGCCCAACAGGCACCCTACACCTGGAGTTGGGAACACAGCACTAAGTTAAGGAGTCTCGTCCTATTAGCTTGCTTTGCTTAAGGTACTTGTTTTACCTTAACAAAACGACGTGTGTGGATTTAATTTTAACATCGATTCATGTACATGAAAAATGGCAAATGGCCTATTTCTAAAACCAGTTGATTTTACAGTCTGCCCATAGAAAGGTTTAAAGTTAAATTCCAGGATCCTTCTTCCCAGGGCCCTATGTAAAACCCAAGCCTTTTACCAGATGAGGGCAAATGGAGCAGAAACGTCAACAGCTTTTCCTATGAATGTCCTCGGAGCTGCCAAAGCCGCGGTAGGAACTGCGGAATGGCTCAGGCTGTCAAAGTAACACAAGCTTATGCGTTTTATTTGTCGGCCACGAAATGCTCACAAGCGCCTGCCCCGGGAAGCATGGGCGCCCAGGGCTCATCTCGGCGCTGTCCTCCCTCCTCCAGCCACATTACGTCGGCTCAGTTCGGGCCCACACTCAATCCACCGCCATCCCCTGCCCGCGGGAATACTACTAAGTGCAAGTCATCCCCGGTGGCGGCGCACGGAACTGAGGGCCTCCCTAGGGCACGTTGCGAAGCCACCGGAACGATAGGAGCCGCAGTGCCCCAGATCAAGCCCCACGGTCTCACCTTCCTCTTCTTGGAAATCTGCACCGCCATCTTGCCGTCGCGCGCTGCCGAAAGGAAAGGAAGTAGCTCGTGGGCGGAAGTGGGTATAAAGGGCGCGGAGCGACGGCGAAGAGACGCGCGACGTCGACACTTAAGGGCGCTCCTGGGAAATGTAGTTTTTTATATTAGGAAGCGGAAAGGCGCTCAAATAGGTGCCAGCAGAAGCGACTTTCCGAAACTCTGGGGAGTTTAGAATCCAATTTCATTTGCTTAGAAATGAGAAGCGTGTGGGAGAGAAGGGGAGGGAAGTGCACGGAACTATAGTGATGGCACACGGGTGACTCGGTGATGGGAAACCCACGGGGATTATATCTGAGATAAAAAAAAAAAGTGAAAAATGATGTAAAAATAAACTGTTATATTATTAAAAAAGAGAGAGAGAAGCGTGATGCGCCAGATGGAAATAGCACGTATAAGTTCTCAGAACAGCGTGGAACCCTAGTTCTTGCAGTCTTTGAAAATAGGAGGAAAGCCCCTCAATGAAGTTCGTGTAGCTGCTCTTCCAATTTATGTCTAGTTCCTCCTTTTCAGTTAATAGCTAATAGTTACTAAATATTCTAGGACCTATTCTATGCTTTTTTATTATTAACACACACAACACAAAAACCCCACAAAATCAACAAATTAATAAACAAGTAAATAAATATGTATTATTAACTCACCATCTCTGACTCACTTCTAACAGAAGTTACAGAGTCGTGGCTGTATGCTTATAATTCTTTGTCAGTTAACAATTTCTTCTCACATTTTCTCAGGCATCACCTGGGTCGGAGCACGAACACTTTCGCTGTTTCCTCTAACACATCTCTCTCCACCCCTCCATCTATCTGCGGCAGATGGGTCTTCTGATGCATTTCAAAGTTGCAGACTTCATGACACCTCACCCTTAAACACCCCTATTTTAAATGTGGACAGTTTACCTGCATTTAAAAAGTGTTTTTTTTTTCTATAAAACCATTTAGGCCTTTCTTTAAAATATAGAAAGAGCTAGCAAATTGAGACAGCCTCTAGTGACCGTGTATCCCTTTCCTGTTCAATGGAAAAGGGCTTTGCAGTCCTCGGACCCACAGTCCATGGCAGCTTGAGTCATGTGTTATCTGGTCCTGGAAGCCATTTGAGCTTTTAACCTTAGCAGGGGAATAACTCTGATAGTAAGTTCTGCCTGTAACCATAGCATTACCGGCATCCTGTGGGAACCAAGCACTTGAACCAGGGAGGATGGTAAGTCAACAAACTAAAGCATTCGATAGGTCGTGGACCCAATGTGACTTGAGGACAGATTGCAGTTCAGGGGAAATTGAGAATGATGTGCCACTTTGTGACGCCAGTGGCGGGTGTTTGCTGGCAACCCTCGCTGAGGCGACAACCCAGAAATAGATATTTTTTCTCTATGTGTCATCCCCCTTTGCTCTTCACTTCCCTCCTCAACTAGCTCAATGGTAGGTTAATTCAGTGGCTATAAAATCTCCATCCTGGTGAGTTCATCTACTTGATTTCTCTACATCTCATTGAGAATGTGGCCACCATGCAAAAGCACACAACCTTTGATACTGTGGTCAGAATATTTCCTCATTCAGATATGCTTCTCATTTCTGCACAGTGCCTACTATAATCTTTGTCAAATGTGGGATCCCAGAATCTCATTCTCACTCAGTCGTCAACCTCCCTCCTAAACCTATGAACCCCAAACTGATGCAAGAACTGTGCCTCACCTATCCCATGTATGTCTTTGGCCATCCTTCCCTCCTCACCCCAATCTCCCTCTCAAAAAAGACATTACCTTCTGGCCAAGGTCAAATCCCCCTGTGTGTTCTAGCTCAGGTTTAGTTCTGTTCCTTTGAGACCGTGGCCCAGCAATCCTGACTTCCCTTTCCAGTAGCAGTCTTCTTTCACTAGCTCTTCAGTCTCGCCAGGTTGTGCCCCTCTCACTTGCTCCCTTAACCATAACAGTCATTTCACTGTGCTGCAGTCACTGGATCACAAGCTCATTAAAAGCTCACACCAGGCCTGTTCTGTTCATTATACCCAGAGCCTAGGACACCGCCTGGCTCAGGTCTCATGTGAACAAAACTTCAAGAAGCAAACAAATCAATGCATGGCTTCTGATTTTAAAGTCAGTTCCTGGCAGCATGGTTCAGATGAATTTGCTTGCAAGTGCTATATCTTACCTGGAATATTCGTAAAAGTTCTAGAGATTCAAAGCTGAGGCTGAGGCCGTGGCAAAGTCTCTGTCTCCTCATCAGCTCATCTGTTCTCCTTCCCCAGTGGCCAGGAGGCTGCCTGCCTGGATATTGTCCTCCGGTTCTTGGAGGAAGTCTGTAAAGGAAATCATCCTTATCACGATACCTTTTGTTTTATTTAAGACCGCTATGTAAGAAGAGAGTATTTTACTCAAAGTAACGCTATAAAAACAGCAGGCAAGATATACTGAATTCTGATTCAGAGTAGGGCCTGTGAGAGGGTTGTAGCCTGGTCCTGCTCTCCCTGTATGTCCACACTTCATGCAGGTTTTATCTTGTTTAGTTCAGGGTACAACTGAAATGTCACGGGAACTGTGACGAGAGGGCCTGTGAGAACACAGAGAGCTTTGTGGCCACACACAGGGGCCATGCTGAGGCCCTGTGAGTGCCTTGGGTCTGTCTTGTGACCTTTGGCCTGGAGAATGAAGATAGCTCAAATATTTGGAGAATGGTTGAGTCACTTGAAGGATAGTACAGAGAAATCACACAGAAAACATCTACTATATTGGATCCAGTTGAGGAGCATGGCACGAAAGAAGAATTGAACTAAGTGTGAGCAAGGGCCATGTGCCTGCCACCCTGCTCATTAGCATGCGTGCAGCTCAGCAGAGTGGGAAGATGGGGCCCGTTTGCTCCCCTGGCCAGGCCAAGGCCTGTTTCCCTTGTGGGGTCTGGCTGGTCTCAGCAACTGGCTGATTGCCATGCTGCAAGAATTCTGCCTTTTCCTATAAGGCTTAATAACTAACAACTTTACTAATGTTCAATCAAAGAGCCAGGGGTCTGTGCTAGTCCTGAAGGAGAAACTAGATTCATGAACAGGTGGTCTCCACTTGGGCATTTCTTTCTTTCTTTCATATTTATTTATTTATGCATACAGAACTGGGGTACAGGCCAGAGTAAGGGGTGAGATGATTCACTAGAGACAGAGTGGGGAGCAGAACAGGCCGACTGATGAAATACACTGCTGAGGGGGAACAGCAGGAGAGAGAGGAGAGGCCTGCCTGACCCACACCATGTGGGTTAGCTCCCTGGCTGGGGATCGAACTCATGCCGCACTGGCTGTGGTAGTTCATAGTGCTGTGCTTTAACCCCTGTACCACCAGGGAGGGTCCTAAATCAGGTTTCTTTTTGGAAGGCAGCTTGACAGCACCCACTATCACTGAAGAGCCGTTGGGTTCCCATTGGGCTAGCAAATATACACCTTCTGATCTACCCCAGAAAAATTCTTGCACAAATGCACCCACAGGTGAGTGCAAGAATGCTTATTATGGCATGATTAGTAATAGTGAAAAAATTAAACTAAAAACAACTGAAAAGCCCTTGAGTAGAAATATAGTTGTGGGATATTATGCAGTAATTACAGAGAATGAAGTGAATCTGTGTACATATGTGAAAAGAACATCCAAAAATATCACTGTGAGAAAAATTCAAGTTGTGGATTTTTTAATAATGTGAAGTACTTATGGACAATCCAATAAAATGGATGCCTACAAACATGTAGAAAGGTCTATAGCCATCTACCAGACAACTAAGTTCCTTCTGAAAATGGAGCAGTATTGTGGGAGGTTAAGGGCAATTTATTTTATTGTTCGAGTTTAATTATAATAAAATGTATTTACATATCAGGAAATTAAAATAAATGAAAAGGAAAGTTGCGGGGACTACATGCATTCATGGATCTTGGTCATCTGACCACTTTGGAAACCACATCAATGTCCCTGGCTCCAACAGCATGTCCCACAATCCTTTCTTCTGAAAGATCAAGATAGGAAAAAGTTATTTAGTTAATTAGAAGAGCATCGAGGTGGCCTAGGTGGAAGGACTATGGGACACTTAGATATGGTTGTTTCTGAGTGGAAAAGTGCAAAATACACAGCATTGGAAGTATAAAAAAGTAAAAACTATCTCATTTCTTAATTTTATACTGATTACACATATGAAACAATAACATTTTAGGTACATTGAATTTAATAAAGTATGCGACTAAGTTCACCTGTTTCTTTTGCTTTCTTTCCATGTAGCTACAAGAAAATTGAGAATTACCTATGTGGCTTGCATCTGTGCCCCACAAATTTCTATGGGACTATTTGGCTGTGAGCTTGTCAACCACAGAGATCAATGGTATTTCGCTTCTTTGTGTCCATGAGCTTGGGCACTGTGAATGGAGAGAGTGGCAATTAGTAAACATCCCCAGGTTTAATGAATGTTCTCATATTGTGGTACAAACCAATCTTGTTCGCTGTCTGCCTGGGGTCCTAGGAAACTCAGAGCTAAGGTTCCTGACCAGTTGAGTTCTTGGGCCGCCACCCTGTTCCAGCTCAACTGCAGGGGTGCAGGAGGCCGTGGGAGAATTCAAGATGTTCCTGGAGCTTGCAGCCAGGAAAGAGCTCATCAGAGCCCTCCTCCACCTCATCACTTGCCCTTTCTGGCCTGTGTACAGAGGCCCACTGGTCCCGAGTTCTGAACTTGGAAAGAGCTACTTGTAGGGGCAAAGAATGCCCTGAAGGAACTCTACAAGTTCCATCCCCACTCCAGACCAAAGCCATCAAGACACAGGAAACTACAATCCGATCATCACCAAAGGGCAGATTGCTGGGACCTGAGAGTGGAGCTAAGCAGCCAGGTTTGGGTCTTGGGACTCTTTTGGCTCTTAACTTGCTTGCTCCTGCTTCTCCTGGCTTTGGCTTTGGCTTTGGCTGGCTCCCAACATGCTGTTGGGACTCCAGGTTGGTGGAACTGATAGGACGCATTACCAATTTATCACTCTCTCTTTCTCCCCGAAATA